ACAACACAGCGAGGTAATTTTCAAAATGAGATGATGAACATCTGAGATGATAACCATCATCTGAGATCTGGTGGGAATCCGAAAATGATGAAGGAGTGTGTATCTAGCTTGCTAGGAGGTGTCATCATCAAGGATCTTTAAAAAGGCTATACAGTGGGTGGGGAGCCAGAAGTGTACCCAGTAGTAGTAAGAGAGCTAGCTATCGCTGGACATTTCTCAAGCCAGAAACAGATGCTACAGATAGTGTGTAAAGACAGCTGAAAGCATGTTGATATTGTAAAGAAGGGATTGAGGCAGGTTTTTTTGAGTATGTTAAACGAGACTTCAAAAAACTCCCAGGATTCTAATTTGCATAATCCTGGAGACAATGGGATTATACTACACACTCCTACCATGACATTCAGATATTCGTATTAGTTAAGAATTTCCTTCTTCTAACTATGGGCTATCTCTTAAGGCAGGTTTCTGACCTTAATCCCTAAACATCTCCCTTGTTTTGTCCTTTATTGTCCTTATGTGCGATCAAATCACATCATGTACTGTAACCCTATGAATTGTTTTATGTTCAAGCAGCCTCCAAGTTACAGTGACCCTATAATGACAGATCTCCAAAATGTCTTGTCCTCGCATGTCCTGCTCAGCTCTTATAGACTCAAGTCTGTGGTTTCTTTAGTGAGTCAGTCCATTTCAATATTTGGTCTTCCTCTTTTCCTGCTTCCTTTCACATTTCCCAGTATTTCCTAGCATTATTTTCCAGAGAATCCTGCCTTCTCATGATGTGCCCAAAGTAGGACAGTCTCAGTTTCAGCATTTTTGCCTCCAGAGATAGTTCTGGCTTGATTTGTTTTAGGATCCACTTGTTTATCTTTCTGGCAGTCCAGAATATTCACAAAGTTCTTCTCCGGCACCACATTTCAAATGAATAATTTTTTTCATGTCAGATTTTGTTAACTGTCCAGCTTTCACACTTATACATGGTAATCAGAAATACAAGAGTGTAGACAATCTTGGTCTCGGTTCCCAGCAAACACATCCTCACACTTGGTGATCACACTAATGCCTTCATTGAAGCCCTTCCTAGTCCCAGTCTTCTGATTTATTGGCTGCAGTCTCCATTTGGATTGGTGACTGGGCCAAGGTATACAAAATTTCTAATGAGTTCCAATTTCTTCATTGTCAGTGTTAAAGTTGTGTAGTTCTTCTAGTGTCCTCCAAAAGATCCTATTGTCAAAAGCCTGCTCAGCCTTTGTGAACTCTGTACACAATGGAGGAGTGTGCATTTAGCTGCCAGGAGTTGTCATCATCAAAGGCCTATGTAGGATGTAGGCTCTCCCTACTCAATGGGCAGGGGGAGCAATAACACATTAGTTAAGCATTTCCTTCTGCTAAACGTGGGTTATCTGCAAAGTTCTGTTTCTGGCCTTGGCCCTTACAGGCCTTCTTTGTTGTTATGTTCTGTCAAGTCGCTTCCAACATATGCTGATCGTATGAATTAGTGACTCCGTTCTAAAAAGGTCTTGTCATTAACAGGCCTGTTCAGTTCTCCCAAAATAAAGCTATGGCATCGTTAATTGAGTCAATCCATCTCTGATTCTGTCTTCTTCCTTTTCTATTGGACAGAGTATGTGGTACAATTGCTGGTTTTTTAAAAAAAACAGCTTCCAGCTGCAAAGTAGAGAAGAGCCCAGACAGGGATCTAGGGAGGGGATTAGTTTATTACAAGTCTCATTAAGCATAATTCACTAGTTATAAAAATACTCAGAAGGCAAAAAATAAAAAATAAAAATGCCATTACTAACCTGTCCCTAGCACAGATGTTACTGAACACTAACAGACTCTAGCGGCCACTGAAACCTGACTTCGTTAAAAGGCTTGAAAAGGAATCTGAGGCAGGGAGGGGAATAATTGGTTACTCTGAGACTGATTGATTGATTGATTGATTGATTGATTTAGCAACCCTAGCAACTGCTGTAGATGTGTGAGGGGGAGATGGGTGGATACTTGTTCCTCCCTGGGGCTGAGGCATCTCCACCCTCCCTCTGCCCTCCAGGCCTTGGACGCGGAGGCCAGACAGGCCGGCTCTGCAGAACGCGAGGCGAAACGACTCCCGTGCCTCCTCCGCCTTTCTCGCTCGCCAAAGTGGGGCGGGCATTTAAGCGAGGCGGCCCGGCAGGCTCCGCACCTTTCCTGCCAGCTTGCTTCGAGGGCGCCTTTCGCGGTTCTCCCTCTCCTTCTCCACGAGAGCGTCAGGCATGGCGGGCGGTTCCGCGGGGCCTCTGTCGGGCCACGTCTGCGTGGTGACCGGGGCGTCGCGGGGCATCGGGAAAGGCATCGCCCTGCAGCTGTCTGAGGCGGGCGCCACCGTCTACATCACGGCGCGCAACCGGGAGACGCTGGAGCGGGCGGCGGCCGAGGTGCGGGGCCGAGGCGGGAAGTGCGTGCTGGTGGTCTGCGACTCTTCCCGGGAGGAGGAGGTGGCGGCGCTGTTCGAGCGCATCCGGAAGGACCAGGACGGGCGCCTGGACGTCTTGGTCAACAACGCCTTCTCGGGAGCCGATGCCATCACCGGCGAAATGGGCTTGCCCTTCTGGGAGAGCTCGACCTCTGTCTGGGACCAGGTCAACAACACGGGCCTTCGGGGCCACTACCTGTGTGCAGTCTATGGTGCCCGCCTCATGGTGCCAGCTGGGGCTACCTCTTCAATGTTCCTTATGGTGTGGGCAAAGCGGCCTGTGACCGCATGGCCGCGGACTGTGCTGTGGAGCTGCGCCCCTATGGAGTGGCCTGCGTGGCCCTGTGGCCTGGCCTGGTCCGCACTGAGCTTATAATGGAGCACGCAGAAGAAAAGTCAACGCCACTGTCCCAGGTTCTAAATGAAAAAGTGGATATCATGGGAGAGAGCCCAGAAGTGAGTGGGAAGTGTGTGGTGGGCCTGGCCACCGACCCTCATGTCATGCGCCACTCTGGGAAAGTGCTCCTCAGTCCAGACCTGGCCCGTCTTTATAAGTTCAAAGACGTGGATGGGAGAGAAGTCTACAACTACACTTCACTCTCCAATATCCTGAAGGAACTAATGCCAAAAATGTCGTTCCTTTCTCACCTGATACCTCGATTTATCACTATTCCTAAGTGGGTCCTTGCTCTCTATAGTAGCAAGTTTACTGTTTACCCACCTCTTCAACCACCTGCCATTGAAACAACAAAAAAGGCCTGATAAGTTCTTACACAACCTGGGCTCTTTTTGATTGATCAGTTTGATCACCATTTTGAAATTTAAAACAAGAACAACAAAATCCCTTTCAGTGAGTATTTCTCTAGTTTAGAAATAAGTTTGAGGAAGGAAGGAGTCTAGGAAAATATGAGTTTGTTATAAATATGGAGCCTTAAGCTATTTTTGAAATATCTCATTTCTTCATGTTTGAACCAGAGTAGCTTTTAATAGTTCTCCCAAAATAATTACCAAGTATTGTTTGTGGTGTACCTTTATGTACTGTATTTCAGATGTGACAGAACTGTTTTATCATTAAATAATACCTTTGGGAATTTTTATGGGATATTTTTCTTTCTATTTTGTCATTGTGGAATACCCTGTGGCTTCCCTTCACACCAAGTGACTGGCCAAGGCCTGCTGGAACTGCTCCCTATTCATATCAAGGAGACCTAGATAAGAGTAGACCAGAAAGTGGCAGATTGGCTGCATGAATGTATGTACTCCTCCTATGGTCTCTATATATGAGAACCTGTTCATCCATGACAGGGTTTGGACAAACCTGGAAATTGTTAAATGCAGTTTAGCAACAAGATATAAGTATCTGTAAGGATCACTGCTGTAAAGTAGAGCTAAGTATGAGTTAATACAGCTGAGTAAGATTGTAACAGCAGGATGAATATACCAGGATTGGCTATCTCTGGTATATAGCTGGAGACCTAGCATACACCAGTGTGGGTTGTTGTGGGAGTTGCTATGGTCGTGGAGTGCTGTCGTCGAGCTGGAGAATCCTGTGGAAGCCATATCTTCGAGCTTGGGAGAAGAGGAACTCTGGTGAACCGGACTGACTGCATGGTATATTGACCTTGACTATTTACTGGAACTCTGACATTGATTTAAGCTCTGTAACTCTGAGGATATTGCCATGTGTGACTATTGGAACTGGACAAAGACTATGCTGTGTATATACCTGTACATATCCTGTATAAAATATATGTATTCTACTATGAAGATTGTTTGCTGCCTGTGTCTTCACTTAGGCTCTTGTGGCGGATAAATGCAACTGAGGGCTGAGGCGGTGGAGCATGCGCAGTCGGGGCAATACTATGTTACTTTTCTACAAAAAGCTCTAGAAGATTCTGAGAGGACCAGCACAGGCACTTTCAAAACCCTATTGTGTGCATTCACAGAGGCCACGATGAAGAAGCATGTTTTGTTTGTTTGTTCAGAAAGCGAGGTATTTTAAACAGCCATGTGAGGTTTGTTAACTCTGTTGCAAACATGATTTATTTTGAATAGTTTTGACAGGTATGCTCGCCTGTGTGAGAGCCTCTCTTCTCCTGACTTCACTCCTCCTGCTTGCAACTGAAGCCAGAGGGAATCGGAAGAACAGGGGGGATATTAGCAGCAGGGAAGAGGGTCAGGGTGAAAGATGACAATTCGAATACTTAAGAGATACACTGCCCAATTATTAAAGGTTTAGAAACAGCCTTAAAACAGGCAGCGGTGCTAATTGAAATTCTACTTGTTTATACTATTTTAAAACATAAATGAGACTGTGCACCTCTGTGGAGGAATATCACTTAATGGTATTGTGTAAAATACCAGACTGACTAGAATTCAACTAAGGATGGAGTACCAAATACTGTGCAGGTTCAATAAGCCACTAAGTACATTGCATACCTTCAATTTTAATTAAAAAAGAGAGGGTTACCTGGTGCAAAAGTAATATATTTTAATTCTTCTGTGTATGTGACACTTGCAGAAAACAATGTACAAGGAAGCTTTCAAATGGTGTTGCTTGAAACTTTTATTCCAATTGTCTTTTACTTAAATAACATTAGATTTAGACGCGCGCAGACATTTCAATTATTCTTGGCTGTCAATGAGTCAGTATCTCCCCAACATTTCTTCTGCTTTTGGAGAAAACAGTAGTAATTTAGCATTGCTGTTAGAGAAAGAGTTGGTTCACACTTGCTTTCCCTCATCCTGCCTTTTCATTATCTTTCTTAGCTGCAGGTAAGGAATTAAGATGATGCTTTGCCAGATATATGTCTTTCACAAGTGTTTTCAGATGGAAAGCTTCTAACACACCTAAAACAACTGTGTGTTGTCTTTTCCTCTTTAAGAATTTTGTTTTAATTTTTTTGTGGAAAATAAAAAGCCAAATCAGCAGGAAAATATGGGATGCCCCGGACATCTGAGTGGATGGATTATAGAAGCAGAGGACCCTCACCATGAACTCCAGTTCATTTATGGTCGCCAGAAAAAAACATATCCACCAAATCTTCATCCTCTTAAAAGGATTTATTAACCATAGGAGGAACAAAAGACAGCCCACCCAACGGAGTAAGCCAATTACATTTCCGCTGCTACAGTTACTAGAGTAGCAGAGCCTGCTGTCTGTCATGCCCACAAGTGGGAGGCATTTTTCGTGTTTGTTTTGTGGCCTAACTTAAAAGTATGTTTCCTTGGAAATAACAGTAGTTAAAATAATTCTTTTTACCGTGGATATATTTAGAATGCAGCTGCATTCAGTTACAGGAGTGATACTTCTAACTAAGGTAGCAAAAAATCTTCATTAGGTTGTTGTTATTGTAGTTTGATTAGTTTTTCTCTTGAAAACACTGAAAGTACTAGCCTAAATTTCGTGTTTCAACCTTAGCAAATTTCAAAATTATTCAGTAATAACTGGATAATTTAGGACATTTTGTTGTACTCACCATAATCTAGTGCAAGAGAAAGGAATTATAGAGACTTTCCCCCAAAATATTTATTTGTACATAATTAAAACGATATTACATACACTACTAAAGAGAGTAGACATTTAAAGCAGAAATCCTTCCTTTGGTCTTTTCTGTTGCTGTCATTTTCAATTTTTAATTTCAAGGAATCCTTTGAGCTGTGAAGAGTTGAGAAGCTTGCCTTTGAACCTTAAAAATAGAAGGTAAATAATTAGAGTTAGGATGTAGCATTACCACTTTTAGTCACACTATACTGACCCCCAAAATCAATTAGACTCTTCTGGCATACTTACAACTTTTTCCTCTTCTGACAGTACTCCATCTATGGCCACTATTTGGTATTGTTTATGTTTTAAATTGCCCAGAAATCTTCGAAGTAATCTGAGACTGTTCCCATCAATGCCTTTAAACATTTTTTGCATTTCTTGTGAGGAGCACCCTGGATCAAATACTAGCAGACACAAATTTTTGTTCTTTCTTTCTTCTATCCCAATGATAGTACGGCTATGACCTAATTTTAAACACACACGTACAACAAACATAAGGACATTTCATAGAAAGTTAGAAGAGTTATGTCATGTTACATGTCATCACATCCGAACCAACACGTAACAACCTTAATAGGACTTTCAAAGTAACTGAGGTATCTAAGGAGTGGTTTTAACATTTTCACACTTCCACTCGAACTGCCATGGCAAAAAGTGTAAAAAGAACCAATTGCAGGCAAGAAGAAGTGGTTTTGAAAGAAGCCCCAGCTTCATTGTAAAAGCAATAGTTTCAATATAAGAATGTTTCGGCAAAGACAAGGATATAACGTGCTCAACATGGTTTGTGTTGCACTGTTTGGCAAGATGATGCAGTGCTACAAAAGTGGTACAATTCAGGTCATAACTCCCAGCTATCTATGTGGGTTTGTCAAATTATCCCAGGATCCATGCGCTCCTCTGAACTTCCTGAGGCAGCAAGCAATACAAGAAGCTCCTCTCTACTCTTGGCCAGTTTAAGCTAATGTTTTAAAATGGAGTAGATTCAGATAGCAAGGCAATTTTGTCTCACACCCCCCCTCATGCCCCCGTGCTGTATCCCTGCCCAAAGAAAAACCAAATATTCAAGCAAATAATTAATTCTTTTCCTTGGAAACAGCAAATGCTCATAGAACACTGACAAGCAAAGCACAACCGGGAAATTCACTGGAAAGTTGTTACTACAGGGACGGATTCTCCTACAAAAAGGCATTCATCTCCAACTTCCTCAATAGTCATATTGGCAAGGGATTGGCTACCAGATCCCTTATGCCAATATCCTCCATAACACCATACAGGATACCACTCAGGGATTGGCAGATCAGGCTAGTTTTAGTTATGCATGTACAACCCATCCACTTGCCACATATTCTCATTGCACTTCTGTCCAGAGCAAGGTTCCCTCCGAGGCTTGCGTGTGCACAACTCCACCTCCCTCACTGTGCACACACAGGGGGGAAGTCACACGAGAGGTGGAGCCTGAACCCAGTGGGGCTGAAAATTAAAAGGTACATTGGTTCAGAAGCACAGTGGTGCCTCGCATAGCGACGATAATCGGTGCAGCAAAAATCGCTGCAAAGCGATTTCATCGCTATGCGATATTGAAAAGCCCAAAGGAATGCACTGAAACCCCTTCAATGCGTTCCTATGGGCTTCAGACTCACCTTAAAGCGAAGATCCTCCATACGGCGGCCATTTTCGCTGCCCGGTAAGCGAGGAATCTGTCCCAGAAAACAGCAAACCGATCATCGCAAAGCGATTTTTCCCTATAGGGAACATCGCAAAGCGATCGCAAAAGCGATCGCAAAAAGTTAATCACTATGCAATTTCATAGTTAAACGGGGCGCCTGTTAAGCGAGGCACCACTGTATATCAGTTCTGATGCAAACCGGAGCTGACTGAACTGGGTTCTTTTCTGCAAATCCTCAGTCATTCACTATATAAAAGGACTACAGATCCTTCTCCATTATCACAATGACATGCAGTTTCATTGGGAATAGATGTACAGTGGTGCCCCGCTAGACGCTTACCCCGGTAAACGACGAAATCGCTTGACAATGACTTTTTTGCAATCGCAAAACGATGGTTCCTATGGGGGAAATCCACTTTACGTTGATTAGGTCCCTGCTTCGCGAACCGTTTGTTCGCTAAATGATAATTTTTCCAGCTCCGCAAAATGGCTTCCCTTCACAAAATGGCTTCCCTCCTTTCACAAAATGGCTGTTTTCCAGACAGAAGCTTCGGAAGACAGTGATTTTAAACAGCTGATTGTCAGTTCTCTATGGGCGATCTTCGCTGGACGAGGAGGTATTTCCACACTGGAACGCATTAACCAGTTTTTAATGCATCCCAATGGGTTTTTTTCGCATGACGATATTTCGCTTAACAGCGATTTTAACAGAACGGATTATTGTCACCACTGTAGTGGTGTAGAAATACACTGTAGAGTATTGTGAAATATTTTCTAAAAGAGCAACAATGTAGGACTGACCTTGGTGCTGAAGGTAGATAGGCGGTCTAGAGGTACATACAACTTTTGCACTACTCTCCTTATCAGAAGAATAATAGTTCAGAATCCAGTCAAACAAACGAGGGTGTGTTCCTGCAGGGCCAGTTGGCTGGTGAAAATCAATAATTTGACACCTAAAATATAATACAAGTGAAACTTCAATTGATTGGAACATTTAAACTGATGTTTCTTTGTTAGTCAAAAAAAAAAAGAAAGAAAAAGAAAAAGGATTCCTCTTAGCCCAAGTAGTGCCTGAGACCCAAAGCATGAATATTAAAAATGGTTTGCTTTTGATGCTGCTTTGAAAAACAATTGTTCCTGGCATTTTATTTATTTTCGCTACCCTCCTTGAATTTAAATGCTGAGGGAGTGAGATAAATATTTCAGAAATACAGTGGTACCTCGCATAGCGAGGTTAATTCGTTCCGGATTAACCCTCGCTATGTGAAAACATTGCTGAACGGGACGGGGAAGCCCATTGGAACGCATTAAACATCGTTTAATGCGTTCCAAATCAGCCGAAAACTCACCATTCAGTGATGCTTCCCGGGTCCGGCAGCCATTTTCGCGCCCTTGGTAAGCGAGGGCAGGGCGCGAGAACGCTGCACGCCGCCATTTTGAACCCGCCGAACAGCTGATCGTCGGTGTGACAAACCCAGACCTACTGGGATCTATCACACAGTTACTAAGCTGCCACCAACCATTCCCTATAATAAGTCACACAGACCAGGGATGGATTTGCAAAGCGATTTTTGCCCATAGGGGCCATCGGTATGCGATCGCATTTGCGATCGCTGAAACCCCATCGCTATGCGGATTCGTCATTCTACGGTGCGCTCATTAAGCGAGGCACCACTTTAAATGCAAGAGAGTTTATTTTTCTTTTAAAGCTGATAAAACAAACTGCATTAGCAGGTAAGAATTTTGCTAATATTAATAGTCAACAAGCCAAAACAAGACAAGGAAGCAGTAATGGAGTAATCTTTGAAAGACATAAAAATAACG